AATTTAAAAAGAGGTCTTGGAAACAAACCCGAGTATTTCCTGGATAACAGTAGAAAAATATTGAGAACTAAGAATATTTCTAGAAAGAAAGCCTCATTTTACAGGCGATACAATTGAAATGAAGTTGGGAAATCTGACGCTACATGTGGGAAAGGAAAGAGCACTAGAAAAAATTTGGCGTGAATCCTTGAAGCTACACGTAGAACCCGACTTGGAAAGAACAGGTATATAAGAAAACGAAAAGACAAAGAAAGAGCAATAACAAGGTGAATTATATTACAGATATGTCTCAAATGGAAGTGATTGAGGGCGGAACAATTAACCTGGGAACAATCGAAGCTTCCGCCGTGTTCATTCTGGACAAGGAGGATCCCAAAGAACAGGAAAACGAAGTGGACGAGGCAATAATGAACCCGAGCGCAATTGCACTGGGGCCAAGAACAAGGGACGGATATGGGTTCGGTAAATAGAAAACTTGAAAGTGGAAAAGGCAGAACGAAGTTAATAGTATGTTCTCTTATGTAGTGCACTTGTCGATGATCTTCAGGATCTCAAAATTCTTTCCAATTTCACCACCAAATTATTTTGCCAATGTGGCAGCAGAAATGGGATTGACGCATGAAATCTACGGAGAGGTGAAAGGGAAGAGCATTGACCTTCCTATCCCAGGCACCATAGTCGACAACTACAAATTTAGCACAGAACGAACACCGATTGAAGGAGAACCACGACGAAATTCCTCGAAAAAAGCCATCATACTGATTAGTACCTCAATGTGCAGTACCTTTCATTTTGGGGGAAAAAAGGACAGTTATCGAACAAGAGTAGACTGCAAGGAATGGGTACATTACCCTGTGATGGATGTGGGATATATGGTGGACGATCTAGACGTCAAGATTTTACAAGTAAGAACTCTTGTAAGGAAACCAAAATGAATATACAGTAAATTTTATTACAATTACAGTGGACTATGAGCGGGTGGTCGTTAGTCGTCGGAAACGGAGTGATGCCTGCAGAATGCTTGAGAATGCTAATTGAACATGATTTGAACCTGGCACCAGACTTTAAATTTGCGCAAGCATACATTAGAGGAGGCACAAACGACATAAAACAGCTAATAAAGGGCACGGAAGGAGGAGAGATAAAATCATTTAATGATTTCATGGAAAAATACTCAAAGTACTTGAAGGAAATATCAAAGTACTTTAAGTGCCCAGCAATTGCATTAGGCGCTTCCCCACCATGTTTGAGACCAGAAGTGAACAGGACAGTCGAATTGGTACGAGACGAAAAAGGGATTCCACTAATTCCGTTAAGGTTGGTGAACAAGGAGCACATTAATGCTATTACAAAAATGGAGGCAGCTTGAGTGTATCAAGAAGCATTATACGCAGAATTGGAGTGCCGAATTGGCATTTTGCAAGAAGCGGACGAAAATCACAAAGGCTGGTGGGCAATTCCGACACCAATTGACTATTTACGTTGTTACAGCAAGACCCATGGGAATCTAATACAATTTGGACACTTAACACCAAATGGGATTCTCGGATTTGCACAAGACCACAATGTGGCCTTTCGTGCAGGTTTGAGTTTATTAAAAACTCCCAACGACTATCCAATTTACCCGTGTGTTGGACGCCCACCGTATTGGTCATGTAACGGTGGAATTGTAGAAGGGCGAAAAGCATCTGCCAAACATACCCACACTGGAACGGCAGGAAGAACGGGACAGTGTCTGGTGATGCCGTATTACGTGAATCCTGATGCAACGGGAGCAGAAGGAAACATTTTCAAGTAAGAGACAAAAGTGGGAAATTGAAAGAATATAGATTAATGAAAAAATATACTATTACAGAAAATTTGTTACATCAGAATGGTTTCTACAAGAAGAACCATTTAATTTGGAAATAATCCTGCCCCGAGCCAAGAATGCGGATACAACAACACCATATCATTGTCTAGCAGTGGGAAGCTTGGTGGAACTGAAGACATCACCGATTTTAGGAATTGTGATGATCATGACTGAAGCGGGTGTGTGGGTTGTGGGAAAGGAGGGTCGACAATTCTATTTTTACGAAAACATCTTACGTGTTTTAAGTCACGGGTATGTCTAAGAAGGGACATGAGGAAAACGAAGGCATTAAGTTGAAAATTGTTTTGGTCAGTGAATCTCAGTGAATACTGATCTCGAATGAATATGTCAAAGCTAAAGTGACATAAACAAAATTTTGAGTCAAGACAAAAAGATTTGTAAATTTGAACAAGTACAAGAGACGCTAGCGATTGTGTTTTTTGCCAAATTGTGTGTTCGTGAAGAAATGAGTTGAATCCGCTACCAATTTTGTTACGACCGAAATAAAGTGATGTAAAGCTACTCAAAGCGCGTGCTAGTTTGATTGACAGTACAGTACTCAACAAGAGCAGATAAATGCTGGACACGACGGTCAAGAAGACCATCCTGTTGAGGAACATCCATTTCCAGGGGAATAAGATTTTTAATTGATTGATTTTTTAAAACTTTTGATTGACAGTACAGTACTCAACAAGAGCAGATAAATGCTGGACACGACGGTCAAGAAGACCATCCTGTTGAGGAACATCCATTTCTAGGGGAATAAGATTTTTAATTGATTGATTTTTTAAAACAAGAGGTTCAGACGGCGCAGAATTGTTATGTCATCCTCTGCGACATTGTTATAGGTGACTGGATTAATTTGGTAGTGCCCCTGACGCCATTTATAAATTTTACGCTGTATTGAAGGTAAATTCTGCAAGTTTTCCCCTTAGGAAAAATTTTGATCCCGGATTAAAGAGAGCGACTTGACCCTCTTTTGGTTCAAGAGCCGAATGCTTACCAAGGGTCATAGTAAACTTTCGTAAATTTTTGATATAACCATCCTCAAAAGTGAGCCATAATTTAGTAAAAATCTTTAAACGAAATAGAGCTGCCCTAGTAAATTCGCCAGTATTATCTATTTCAAGAAACTTTAAAGGCTGAGGACCATAAGAAAACGGGCTTAATCGCCAATCAGCTTTATGAATATGAAGAAACATGGAAGGAGAAATTACCATAGGAGAATTACGATCAGCAGATTGATATGTTAAGGGACGAGAATTAATCAATGCCTCAACATATTTGACAGAAGCATAAAGAGTGTTGTCATTACTGTAGGGAATACCCTGAAAAGTACGAGCATATTTATCCTTAATCATACGCATTAAGCGTTCAAAAATTCCACCCCACCAAGGTGCCCGGGAAGCATTAAAATGCCACCGAGTCTTTGGGAAATGGCGCTTAATAC